TGAACGAGTTCGCTTTCACCGAAACGCAGCTCTAACTTCGCCTTTAATTCCGCGTAAGAGAGGGATTCGATCCCGTCGGCAAGTGAATCGAGTAATGAACGCGTTTTCCCCCGCAAGCTCGACGCCAAAACGACCGCTTTTTCTGCTTCGCTCCATTTATTCGCAACGGCAATAAGCGTGAATCCCTTACAAAAAAGTATTACTAGCTAGTTAGTAATAAATACTTATTTTGTGTATTAATAATACTAAAATTAAGTATTTATTAGTACTTGAATCACTGTGATCCAAGTATTGCACAGTATTTTATTACTGGTCAGTAATTTATGAAAGTAGTATTTAATACAGGACGAGTATTGAATACTTAGTATTAAATTTCTGATGAGAAAGCATTTAATACTAGGTAATAAATACTTGTGTAATAAATACTTGTGTTGAATTACTGATGAGTATTTCAATGTTAGTACTGAAGTACTGGACCGAGGATTCCATGTGTAATAAATCACTGGCCAGTATTTTAATGTTAATACTCAAGTACTGAACTGAATATTCCATGTGAAATTAATCATTGACCAGTACTACAATTTGTATAGAAACATTATAATGGGTATATAATTCCTGATAATATTAAGGAAGAGAGATAAAAGTAATGCACAAATACATTTTATATGAAGGTCTAGCTGTACTAATTCGTCGTGATAAAAGTGTACAAGTTTTGAAATAGTATTGCGGATATCATTCTTATATCCAATTCAAAATTTTATTACTTTTTTTAAACTGAATTTGTTTCTTAAGATGATTTTTGAAAAATTATATATTTGCGCTGGTTATGACACATGTAGATTATATATAACACTTACATTAAATTAAGAAGTATAAGTCCACCACGTAAGGCAGTTGGCTCACGATCCATAGGTACGTCCCGAGTTCGAATCCCACCAAGGTAAGTGTGTTTTTCAAATACGAGAAAATATTTATAATTATAGACTGCATCTTAAGAAACAAATTTAGTTATAAAATAGTAATTGAATTTCGAAAAAAATAATTTTTTTTATGCCGGGTAAATATCAGAAATCAAAATATCGGTGAGTAATTCAATACTAAGCACCAGTAGTTCTGTGTAGTATTAATAACTACCTATAATATTTATCACTACCAGTATTTTCCCAGTATTTCCCAAATAAATATTGACAGTATTAAATCACTGAGATTTTAAGTATTTAGTCAGTAATACTTTTCTGTAAGAGCAAATCAGAGTGTTATAAGAAAATAGCAACGAGGATTAAAGAGAGAAAAAGGAGGCCAGGGAAATGGTCAGATGTGACAGAGGATTGCAATTTAAGGTGAGCATTTCATAATTTATTATTTATTATATATGGAAATAATTGTTCGTTTGCGCTGTAATGCGCTTTGCAATTTTATTGTACAATAAAATAGCGTGTATACCTAATAAAATATACTGCATGTAATACTTTATTTAATAAACATATTAAATTCTATTTGTGAAGATTTTCAAAATATTAAGTAAAGTATTTATGACATATGATCAATATTAATAAATATATACAAAATATTTCTCAATGTTTAAAATTTATAACAATTTAAGTTATACACGTGTATTAGAATTAGATCTTTTCTTATCAAAGATTATATAAATTGAGAGAGCAATATCATTAAGAAATTTATTTTTATTAAATATCTTGGAATTACGAGGAAAATGGTACTTGCATGCAAAAATTAGTCCTCTATATATTTATTTTAGATATTATTTTTATTTTCGCATAAGTTCAGTACAGATTTGTGTTATGGTTAGTATAACTTTGCATTGTGATGCGAATGAGAAGAAGTTAATTCTGTTAATCTGTGAAGAGATGGAGGAAGAAGCCTGGAAGTACACCTGACGCCAGTTGAACAACTTTGCAGTAAGCATTTACTATTTGTGTAAATTAATCATTTCTTCCTGTTTATTTGGATCGCTTTATTTCAACAATTTAAAAATAATCATTAGAGAAAACAAATTAATCTGATACTGTGAAAGTTTAGTTTTATAAAGATCTTTTTTAAAAAATTTACAAATATTTTAATAGATATTAAATCAAAATGTGACAAAAAGTTTTATTCATGTTAAAATTATCTTTTGAATTATTGATTATTCTAAGCGCTATTTTAATTTGAGTCTTATGGTTGTACATGTTACAAAGTCATCGCGCGGTTGACCACTATAGATACATATATTTTGTATATATAATATACATTCCATTTATAATTTAATTTTGTGACCAATATAATGACACGTGAGCAAACTGTTATTATTACGACGCTGACAATCATTTTGTAAGCAAATAAAACCTTTTCTTTGCCTTTTATGATTTTCATTAAATTGATATTTGTGTTTCAAAGCTTGCATTTGTTTTACAGACAGGGATAAATTTTACACGAAGTGGTTTAGCAGGGCGAAGTACCAAATCAACCTGCATCTGAAGATTCTTTAAATAATCAATGGGCTCCAAATAGAAATTGTGTATCAGAGAAGCTATCATCGCTTTCATTTCCAATATAGCAAATCGTTGACCTATAATTTGGTACATATCCTATGTTAATATCACTTGGTATTACATATTAGGATATAGAAAATACAGTTTACCAATGCAGTTACGTGGACCAGCACTGAATGGTAAATACGAATAAGGATGACGATGTCGGATCTTCTCAGGCAAGAATCTATCAGGATCAAATACTTCTGGATTTGACCAAAAATTGGGATCTCTGTGAACTGCGTAAATGTTAAAAAACAAGAGTGTTCCAGCAGGTACCAAATATGTCTCTAAAAAACATATTATACAATAATTAAGGTTTTGAAATAATAATTTAAGCTGTATTAAAATTTTAAAATTGAATATACATCTAATACAACATAGGAATAGTTGCTTATAATTTGCATGATAAAAAATATAATATAATTATATTATTTAAATTTTATTAACAATTACTTGCTTAACATTATTTTCTGAAAATATTATATTAGATGGAGCTTCGTACGTATTTAAAATTTTGAAACATTATAGAAATAAACTTATCAATAAAAATATACAAATTTTTACATGTTTGAAATATACAAGTATGTTGCCTTTTTAGCGTATTTGATGACATGTTGCGTAATATATTTAAAAATTTATACAAGAAAAAATTAGTTAGATGCATACGTAATTTTACGTCTTCCGCAGGAATTCGTGATATGAAAAACACGCTGGGATATAAGCGCAATGCTTCCTTTATACATCTCTCCAAATATGGTAGGTTTTGCAATAATTTCATAGTATACTTCTGTTCATTCTCTTGCAATGCTGTATTGACTTCGTTCCTGACACGATCCTGTATAATTATTGTTAATTAAACGGCGTCTCTTGTTATTGTGATATTTTGACGTAGAAACAAATATATTCTGGGAATATTTATTGTACAAATGTTTTGATTAATCTATGTTTGAAATATGTGCACATAAATTACACTTAAGATATAAAAATATATTTGAAATATGCGTGCGTACGCTTACGTGTGCGTATACGCATGAAATACGCGTGCGCGCGCATATTTTCTATATTTCTTAATGCGAAAAAAGCAAATTGTGTACATATACACACTTTTAAAAAACATTTAGAAGGTTAGATATTGATTCATATTTAATCTTCCGTCTGTATACATTCTTTTTGCCTCGACGGAGTAGGTTTGTCACGTTCGACGCTATTTTTCTCTACCTTAAAGTATTTTTAAAAATCTGAAAAAAATCATGAAACATTATTGTAGTTGACGATTTTATAATCATTTTGATAAACATCGTTTATTTAATATCTTCTGGTAGATTTGCAAGTTTTATAGATGAGCAGATATCATTTTGGCTCGGACGACATAGACTCACGTATACAGACGGAGGGTTAATAAATAACTTTTGTTAACAATTAATTTCTTTGCCTAAGAATGGCGGCTCATACTTTACGATGGATACCTGAATGTCGTTATGCTCAGCTAATAGTGCCAAAATGTAGCACAGACCCATCGCTGTAGTGTCATGACCCTATAATATAATCGTATACGCTAATGTATCATATACCGATAAATCAAATAATGAATAAAAATGGTTAAAAAGAAATGTACCGCAAACATAAAAAGATCAACTTCTTCTTGAATATCTGAATCAGTCATAAGACCATCGCGAGATGCTGCTATTAAAAGGTCCAACATTGCAAGCCGTTTTCTTCGCACTAAATCAAAATATGTTAACATGTCTGTATCAAATTAACAGCCAAATTCTTCTGTAACGTTTTTGTTACATAAACTCGACTACGTTAAGAATTTAAACAATATGTATAATATTCATGAGTTGTAAAATATAATTTATGATATTGAACCAACCAGATTTAAAGAATAACTACCGATTACATTACGTACTTCCTACCGGTTCTGCGTCATCTCTCTTTGCCGACGTGTCATTATCAAAGCTTTTTAAGTATTGCCCATTAGTACGATCATGATAAAGTTTTCTTTCAGCAATTATCTATGTAAATACAACAATAATGGATTTTTTTAATAAATACATTAGTAATGTGTTGTTGACATTTACAAATTTTAATTTTTCTACGTAATAATCATGTTGTAATTTTTTTGTATTGTAATAATTCTAAATAGATACAGTAACTGTCTGAATATACTATTTAACTATTAAGTAGCATTTTTGCGTACTCGTTTAGTAAATCCATGTAATATCTTCAGCATCTTTTTTTGCTCTTTACCTTTGGACGTCAACGAGAATATCCAATCGCTGCGCAGCCATTGTCTCATTACTCTAAATAATTAATAAATGTTAGGCATGTTACTTTAAGAACATGATAATACTTGGAAAACACGCATTTCTTTAATTTTTTTTATATACTCTTGCAATTAGTATTATTTCAGTAACTATATATATAAAAAGAATACATTTAAACACTAATAAAATTATACTACAGAGATATGCAAAATCTTATATAGTTAAAACAGTTATACCTTCTTTTAACGATTTATTCTTAAATTTATTTCTGTTTGTTTTTAAATAGACAATTTAACAGTGAATTTAATTGTAAAAATGTAATTTGTAAATTTCCAATTAACGAAAGTGATGTTTTACATTAAGTATTGTATTATTATACTTACGTCTTCATATAATTATACAATACGAATTTAAATTTTAATTAAGACAAAATATTGATATACAGTTATTTATTACATCTAAAAAACATAAATTATTATACCTATAAGCAAGAAATTCGCCCATCCGATGAACCGCTTCTCGATACTGCTGCTGGAAACCACCAAGGCCTCGTAGAGAAGTGCCCATGGCAGTTTCTACAAACGCA